TGGTTCTCCCAGTGAAGAGTGCAAAGAACATATTTGCCAATAATATCTGTGACAAGAGGTTGATATCCTAAATATATGAGGAACTCATACAACTCAACAACTAAAAAACAAGTAATCTCATTGAGAAAAGGGCAAAGGACCTAAAGAGTTATTTTGCCAAAGAAGACTTGCAAATGGCCATCAAAAAGACAAGCAATAACAGGTGCTGGTAAGGATGTGAAGAAAAAGGAACCTTTGTACACTGTTGATAGGAATGTACATTGGTGCAGCCATTATGGACAACAGAATGGGGAGGTTCCTCAAAAAGTTAAATAGAACTACTATATAATCCAGCAGTCCCACCACTGGGGTATATCTCCAAAGGAAATGAAATCACCATCTCAAAGAGAGATTTGTACCCCCATGTTCATTGCAATGTTATTGATAATAGCTGAGATATGGAAGTAACCTAAATTCCATGCATAGGCAGATGGATAAAGAAAATGTGGCATATATATATGTGGGTATATACATATGTGTGTGTGTGTGAGTATATATGAATAATATGGTTCAGCCATAAAAAAGAAAGAAACCAACACCCAAAGATTCAAGATGGTGGCGTGAGAAGTGAGATGGAGAACTCCTCCCCAAACCACAAATAGTACAAAAATATAGTTAATTAATACAACTAACCCTAAAACAGCAACAAGATAGAAGGTTGAGACCACATACAGACCTCACGAACAGAGCAGACCTCAAGAAACAAGGTAACATATGAAAACCTTAATCCAGAAGGTGGGACCCAGGCCCTTCCTCCACCTCAGCTCACCAGCGGGAGGAAGAGAAACGGAGCAGGGAGCCAGTGGAAGCCTGGGAAGGCTGAACACCAAGCCCTGGAGATCTGCTTTGTGAACAGAAACCTACATTGTGTGGTGCTCTGGACTTGGAGAGCTCAGACAGGCAGAGTGCTTGAGAGACTGACATTCAGGCCGTTTGTGGAGTAGAGGATCCACATCCGACCGCTCTGTGTCAGAGGAAAGGTCTGAGAGGTTTCCTAGCAGCGAGACTGCTGCTGAAGGGGCGGGGTTTGCACAGACCTTGCTGCACAGGAGACGGGAGAGCTGGACAAGGTTGTCTGGGCACACTCTGCACAGCTGGTTAGGAACGTTGGGGAGCTTCAGGTGCTCCATCCCCCTGGTTGGCTGCTCAGCTCTGAGGCCCCCCACTGTGACACGCAGCCTGCCGAGCTCTCCTCCTGGCCTGACAGCACCAGCGTGCAAACCAGCAGTCACTGCAATGGCGTCAGGCCAGCCAGAGGGAGGCCCTGCCTACAACAGCTAGAGACTGAAAGCACATAGGCTTACACCTGTGTGCTTGGCCCACTGTCTCTGACACTGGAGACAGGCACCACAGACAGGAATCAGGAAACAGATCTTTCCTCCCCCCAGGCACCAGATCCACTCCCCTACGACCCCCAACCTCACTCTAGAGGCTGAGCAGCTCAAGAGACTGGAGATTCTGCACACTAGTGGGCACCACACAGAATTATGAAACGTCAAAAGAACATGGTTCAGACCAAAATCTCACAAACTCCAGAAAAAGGGCCAAAATGAAACTGAACTCACCAAGAGACTTCAAAATAAAAATTATAAACATGCTTATGGACGTACAGAAAAATATTCAAGAACTCAGGAATGAATTTATGTCAGAGATTCAATCATTAAGAAATTCCATATCTGAAATGAAACATACAATGGAGGGATTTAAAAGCAGATTAGATGTAGTAGAAGAATGGCAAATGGAATAGAAATTGGAGAAGAGGAATACAAAGAAGCTGAAGCACAGACAGAAAAAAGAATCTCTAAAATGAAAGGATATTGAGAGAACTGTGTGACTAATCCAAACGGAACAATATTTGCATTATACGGGTACCAGAAGGAGAGAAAAAGGGATAGAAAATATCATTGAGGAGGTAATTGCTGAAAACTTCCCCAATCTGGGGAAGGAGATAGTCTCTCAAGCCATGGAGTTACACAGATCTCCCAACACAAGGGACTCAAGGAAGACAACATCAAGACATACAATAATTAAAATGGCAAGGACCAAGGATAAACACAGACTTTTAAAAGCAGCTAGAGAGAGAAAAGAGATTACATATAAAGGAAAACCCACCAGGCTATCATCAAACTTCTCAACAGAAACCTTACAGGCCAGAAGGGAGTGGCATGATATATTTAATGCAATGAAGCAGAAGGGCCTTGAACCAAGAATATTCTACCCAGCAAAGTTATCATTTAAATATGAAGGAGGGATTAAACAATTTTCAGATAAGCAAAAGCTGAGAGAATTACTTCCCACAAACCACCTCTACAGTGCATTTTGGAGGGACACCTATATATGGAAGTATTCCTAAGGCTAAATAGATGTCACCCAAGGGATAGACAAAGAGTACAGAATACAATACATAACATACATAGAATGGAGGAGGAAGAAAAAGGAGAAAAAACAAAAAAAGAACCTTTAGGTTGTGTTTGAAATAGCATACGAAGAGAGTTAAATTAGACTGTTAGATAGTAAGGGAATTACCCTTGAACCTTTGGTAACCACGAATCTAAAGCCTAGAATGGCAATAAGTACATACCTAAATGTATGTACTACCCTAAAACGTAAATGGTCTGAATGCACCAATCAAAAGACATAGAGGTACTGAATGGATAAAAAAACAAGACCCGTCTACGTGCTGCCTACAAGAGACTCACTTCAAACCCAAAGACATACACAGACTGAAAGTAAAGGGATGAAAAAAGATATTCATGCTACTAATAGTGAGAAAAAAGCAGGAGTTGCAGTACTTATATCAGATAAAATAGACTTTAAAACACAGAAAGTCACAAGAGACAAAGAAGGACATTACGTAATGATAAAGGGCTCAGTCCAACAAGAGGATATAACTATTATAAATATCCATGCACCCAACACAGGATCACCTACATATGTGAAACAAATACTAATAGAATTAAAGGGGGAACTAGAAACTATCTGACCCAGGAATTCCACTCCTAGGAATTTACCCTAAGAATGCAGGAGCCCAGTTTGAAAAAGACAAATGCACCCCTATCTCTATCACAGCACTACTTATAATAGCTAAGAAATGGAAGCAACCTAAGTGGCCATCAGTAGATGAATGGATAAAGAAGATGTGGTACACCAGGCAAGGGAAACAAAAGCAAAACTAATCAAGTGGGACTATAACAAGCTGTAAAGCTCTGTACAGCAAAGGACACCATCAATAGAACAAAAAGACACCCTACAGTATGGGAGAATATATTCATAAATGACAGATCCGATAAATGGTTGACATCCAAAATATATAAAGAGCTCATGTACCTCAACAAACAAAAAGCAAATAAGCCAGTTACAAAATGGGCAGAGTTGCTGAACAGACAGCTCTCCAAAGAAGAAATTCAGATGGCCAACAGGCACATGAAAAGATGCTCCTCATGGCTAATCATCAGAGAAATGCAAATTAAAACCACAAAGAGATATCACCTCACACCAGTAAGGATGGCCACCACCCAAAAGACAAACAACAACAAATGTTGGCCAGGTTGTGGAGAAAGGGGAACCCTCCTACACTGCTGATGGGAAGGTAAATTAGTCCAACCATTGTGGAAAGCAGTATGAAGGTTCCTCAAAAAACTCAAAATAGAAATACCATTTGACCCAGGATCTCCACTTCCAGGAATTTACCCTAAGAACACAGCAGCCCAGTTTGAAAAAAACATATGCACCCCTATGTTTATCGCAGCACTATTTACAATAGCCAAGAAATGGAAGCAACCTAAGTGTCCATCAGTAGATGAATGGATAAAGAAGATGTGGTACATAGACACAATGGAATATTATTCAGCCATAAGAAGAAAACAAATCCTACCACTTGCAACAACATGGATGGAGCTAGAGGGTAGTATGCTCAGTGAAATAAGCCAGGTGGAGAAAGACAAGTATTGAATGATTTCACTCATCTGTGAAGTATAAGAACAAAGAGAAAAAAACTGAAGGAACAAAACAGCAGCAGACTCATAGAACCCAAGAATATACTAACAGTTGCCAAAGGGAAAGGGACTGGGGAGGATGGGTGGCAAGGGAGGGATAAGAGGAAAAAGGGGCAATACGATTAGCACACATAATATAGAGGGGGGCACACAGGAAAGGCAGTATATACAGAGAAGACAAGTACTGATTCTATAGCATCTTACTACGCTGATGGACAGTGACTCTAATGGGTTATGTGGTGGGGACTTGATAATAGAGGGAGTCTAGTAACCATAATATTGTTCAAGTAATTGTACATTAACCATACCAAAAAATAATAATCATAATAATAATAAAAAAGAAAGAAAAAAGAAAGAAACCCTGCCAGTTGTAACAACATGGAGAGACCTTGGGGGCATTATGCTCAGTGAAATGAGCCAGGTGGAGAAAGAGACATGATATCATTTATATGTGAAATCTAGAAAAAAATGAATTCACAGAAACACAGGAGATTGGTGGCTGCCAGGGTCCGGTTAGGGAATGGGGAAATGGGGAATGGTGTAAACTTCCAATCAGAAGACGAATGAGATCTGGGGATCTAGCGTACAGCATGGCAACTCTAGGGATAATCTGCTGCGTACTCGCAGTTTGCTCAGGTAGTGAATCCTACAAGCTCTCACCACAAGTGAGAAATGGTGAGTCTACCAGCTGATGGGTGTGCTAACATTGACATATATGCATATGTCAATCATCATATTGTATACCTAAACTTACAAAGTTTATATGTTAATGTGATAGAAGAGAGGGGATGCGAACTCAACAGTCCAAGCAGGTTTACTGCCAACCTGAGAGGGACCCCTCTGTGCTGGCCAGCAGAACAAAAGAAAGAGAGTCTCTAATAGGTCAAGAGGCTTTTTATGGCCAGGGCTTTGGAGGGCTCTTTGAGGGGAGGGGTTAGGGGAAAAGTGGCCTTGTGGCTTGCTGACCTGTCCTCTGGAGAATGCTTGTAGCCTAGGGAAGATGACACCTAGGTCCCTCTGAGATGGTAGGCGGGCTTATTTGAAAGGCGGTACTCAGGTCCGGATTCCATCAGATTGTATCTCAATAAAGCTGGGGGAAAAGGAGGAGTAAGAAGTTATTCAATTATGTCAGAATAAATTAGCACCATATATAGGCATCTCTTACAGAAATGTTTTTTTCTGTTACATTGACCATCAGTTACCTTGAATTGTCATCGCAGAATGCTAAAGTTTATTTTTCAAATTAACTTTAATTATGTCTTAATAAAGAGAAGTAGCTCATTTGTCAGTTATATTCATCTCTTTAAAATGCTCATTTGTAAGTTGTTAAGAAAGCAAAGGATATGGTTAGTGCATAATTTAAAAATATCTTACAACACACTCATTGGATACCACAGGATTTTTTTAGGTAGATTAAAATGAAGTACTTCATATATTTAATTACTACAGGTGGAATGAGATTTCTTCTTTAATTAATAGAGTTTAATTATGAAGTATTGTTGCCATGAATTTGAAAGAAATCATGGTTCTACAGTATTAGGATTCAGAGTCACAAGCTTCCCATAATACTCTTTAAGTATTTTTACTATGCTTCAGTATCCTCAATGCCTCCTTGATTAAAAGCAAAAGAAAACATTTTCGTAGAGGAAATATAAGCCCTAGACATTGGCAAATGACTGCCTTCCGAGGATGATTGCACATTCCTACTTTAGCCACATTTTCATTTTTAAACACCTGTACATGGTTTCCTTCTCATCAAAATAAAAATATATACCAAATATATTTTCAGCACCTAACAACATTCATCATTTTAATTCATTTTGGTAGGTAATTTCTTTCTTTTTTAATGAACATAAATACAATTTTTTAATGTTATTTTTTCTATTCAATCAAATATAGTCATACACATCAGTTTAAAATGATGTTGGGTACTAGAGCAAATAGTTCTAAAATTCATATGGAACCACAAAAGACCCGAAATAGCCAAAGCAATCCTGAGAAGGAAGAATAAATTATTCTTCCTTCTCAGGCGGATTATGCTCCCCGACAGAGCACAGGAGATTTTTTTAGGGCGGTAAAACTCTTCTGTATGATAATGTGATGATGGATATTATACCGGATCAAATTATGCATTTGGGAAAATCCAGAGAACTGAAAAACACAAAAAGTGACTGCTAATGCAAACTATGGATTTTAAAATGCACCAAGCTAATGTAAGATGTTACTAATAGGGGAAACTGTGTGGGGGGGGGTGGTAAGAGGTGGGTATATGGGAACTCTTTATGCTTTCTGCTAGATTATTTTGTACACCTAAAACTGCTCTAGAAAAGTCTACTAAAAACAAATCATTATTTTGTCTTTGTGTCTCTCATTTGTCAGAGTCCAATGTATACATATGTTGAGTTTCAAGGAGGGTTTACTAATGGAAATGCAAAATCGATGTAAGAATAATTTTTGCTGTGTATACACATATTTTCATGTATTATTGTGTAATTTTAACAGGTGGCTGTCTCCCACATCCTCAGAGCCAAAATGTGACTCATTTGTGACAACGCTTGTTCCATTTTCTGATATTTGTTCTATTTCACAGCTGTATTCATAATAGATACTTGTGTGTACCTTTACTAATCTTGACAACTTGACTTTAAAAGGTACACTTCTGGGGCAATAAACTCTCCTTAACCTCCCTCCACCAACTGTCCAACCCCATACTCATGTCTTTAATGTGAATCAAAAGAAATTCACTCAGAATGGCAAAAGTAGTTAAATGAGCATCATATACACATATTACATATAGTAATGATTTTTGTCATTTTTCTAATTGTTTTGCTTAACTCTTAAAAAGTAAATTAAAAATACATGATTCATAATTGTAAATACAGCAGAATGTATCTTTAAAAACTAAACATTTCCTATTTGTATATTGTCACACTAAGCAAAATAAGTAATTTTTCTTACTATTTCTAATACCTAGTTCATATTCACGTTTCCCAGCTGTCTCTTGCAGCTATTGTTATTTCCAATCAGGATCATACTGAGAACCACACCTTGCAACATGTTTTGTTATAGAGTTGAAATCAAGCCTTAATCTCCGGGTCCTCTTGGAGAAAAGCCTTCGGGGTCACGTCCAACCGTCAAGTCTTCCAACTTGCCAAACGAAGCGGAAACGCTTCAAACGTTACTTCCAGTGGTCTTACTATTTCATGGGAAATGTAGTCTCGAATGTGCGAGCCTGCCGCGCGGCACTGTGGAAACGGGTCCTCGGAGCTCGCTCTGCGCATGTGCACGGCAGCCCCACTTTTTCTCCGGTCTGAAACGGTATCGTCTGGGCGTCTTTGGGTGTATGTGGCGGCTGGGGATGCGCGCCCGGGTGAGTGCGCCGGGGACCGGGCTCCGCGCGGCCTGGGGCCCTGCCGGGTCGGGCCGGCTTGTGCCGGGGGGCGGTGGGTGGGAGGGGACGGGAGCCGGAAGTCCCGAGAACCTCCAGGCGTGCCCTCCCCTCCCCCAGGCCCGCGTGAGCGGTCCGGTCGGGCCCGTCAGCTCTGGGGGCGCAGGTGGGGCCGAGTCCTCGTCGGGAGGAGTTCGGGGAGGGCGGCGGCAGGGGAGGGTGCCTTTGTGACCATCACGATAACCACGAGGTCGCTAACAGCAGTATGCAGTTAAAAACTGCACTTTTTCTCAGAACTAAGGTGTCATCTGCAGAACATTTTGTTAAGTTCTAGTAATCGCTGTGTAAGCGGCTGCAGTCAGAAGACACTTTGGTTCCTTCGTTTGGTATTGCATTTAATGCTGACAACATGCCTACCTGCTATAAACATGCAATTTTTTTAAACGAAAGAAATTTTCTGGGGGCAGAATAATATACCCCAGGGCGCAAGCTGCTGGATGAGGCGGGTAGGATGCAAATACAAAGAGATTTTACTCCCTATCACCTGCCCTGCCCCAAACCCAGAGTTGCAAGCTTTGGAGCTCTTACCAGAGTAATCCCCAGATTTCCAGAGAAACGGCTGTGATGTGAATGTGGAGTTGCAAGCTTTGGAGCTCTTACCAGAGTAATCCCCAGATTTCCAGAGAAACGACTGTGATGTGAATGTGGACAGGGTCTCACTTCGAGTTAAATACAGACTGGCATTTATGGATGAATACTTCTATAAACTCTGGAACCCTCCTGCACTCTTAGGCTACTTTGTCCTCAAAATCACAGTCTCATAACTAATGCAGAGCTGGCCCACAGAAAGATAATGCAAACCGAATTTAAATTTTTTCAGTAGCAACAGTAAAAAGAAAAAGGTGATGTTAATTTTACTGAATTTAACTCACTGCCCAAAAATGTTACTTTGACTAGTCACACTACTAGTCTCTTAGCTGCATGCAGTTAATTGGTACAGTACAGGGTAGTACATTTCTAGTGGATTTCAGAAGAACCAAGTTTAGAGTATGAGATGATGGTTTCAAATAACATGAATTTATTGCTGAGGTCCAAGATCCAGCCCCTCTGTAGAAAAGTAATTATTCTAAGGTAGTAACGAGGTAGCTTCAGGAACAACTGCCGCTTGTAAGAATGGCCCTTCAGACAGACCACTTAACCAGAGCTTCAGAGCAAATGCAGAAGGTTGTAGAAAGGAGCAAGCCTGATCTCCACCAGAAGCAGTTCTTTATCCGTGTATAGCATGACTTGGTGATGTCACCAGACCTGGACGTCATCACAGACTGACAGTATGCACTGGACCCATTTGCAGAGGGTGGTAACCTGGGGTTGAGAGGAATGGGTGACTCAGGCTGCACAGGAAAAACCACTTCACTGGATGCCGGTAAGAACATGATGTCCAGGGAAGGTGAAAGCAGCCAGAGCTGACAAAATCCTAAACAGCATCAGATTTTCTTTATTCTCTCACTCCAGATTCTTAGCTGTGCTCAGGCCGTGTCCATCACCACATGTGGCATTTATAGTTCTGCTGATGCTCCTTCTTTCCTGAACACAGCAAATAACAAAATGATAGTACAAGTGGCATTTTCTATTTTGGACACTTCTGGAGACCCAAAACTATTGGGCCTGAAATGGAATGATTTTTGTAGAGGCAAGAACTAAGCACAGTGCTAATTGCATAGCACAAGTTAAGTACTGTAAACAGTTTATCAAAAGATCTTTTCTAGAAACTGCAATCAATTTAGAACAAAAACTTAAAAATGTATTTCTTGCATAAGGCATCCTATCTTTATTTCAGTTTTCTCTGGAAGCTCTAGGTGTAAAGACAATGACTACAATCCTGTCTGAGTAATTTCTGACAGCACTAGTTTTAATGAAAGTAAAAGGTTTCACCTCTAGTGTACCTAAATTGTTTTGCAGTCCTCTTGTTGTTGTTTTTTTGTTGTTATTAATTAGAAGGGAACATAAATTGTTAATTCATCAACAAAGAGCAATTTACCTTACTTAGTGAAAATGGTAGATTAAACCCACACAGCCATGTCAGAGATGCACTCTTTTAGGTGTTAACAACCTTTGTGTGGGCTGGTCCTTCCCATCCCTTCTCACAAATATCAGAGACATTATCCCATAGGGGAAACCTTTTCTCCAGCTGATGTAAAATTTTTAGGTAAATGAACATAGGAGTTGTAAGGCAGACCAGGTTTCTCATGACCCTATTTCTCTTTCCTTGCCAGAGAAACCTTCAGTTTTTTTTACATTCTTCTAGAAGCAGCAGAAAATGAACATAGCCGAGGTGAGTTCGTTTTTAATGATGTATTTGTTTTACAATGGATTTTGTAAGGGCTTAAGTGTCTATATGTCAACATGGAAAAGTACAAATAGAAATATATCAGATGCATTCAGAGAAGCTTCGGAAATAAGGATGAATAGCAGAGCAAAGGTGGCATGTGGATATATGCAGATCCTCTGCTATTACTGATTGGAGCTCCAGATTGATTGCTGAGGTTTTGATAGCCACAACAGAGTGTCAGATAGTACTTCTTTAAAGGTTGATGCTGGTGGGAAGATAGAGCAGATTGATTCCTCATAGAATGTAAAGACAATTTAAGATAAAAAATAATCTTTGTTCTTCAAGTAGGTGATTTAGTTAATAGTTTTTCACTAATATAGAATAATATTAGAATGTTGCTTCTACTAGTTCTAAAATAATATAGCATGTTGCTTCTACTAGTTCTTCGGTAAAAGAAGGCATAATGAGATTCTACAACTTCCTGTGCTGATGGACAGTGACTATAATGGGGTATGTGGGGGGAACTTGGTGATGGGAGGAGTCTAGTAAACATAATGTTCTTCATGTAATTGTAGATTAATGATACCAAAATAAAATAAATAAATAAGAAGGCATAATGAACTTGGTTGATACTATTTTTCAGAAACTCAGATGGGTTATAGAGTAATGCTGGCTTCATAGAATGAGTTTGGAAGTATTTCCTCCTCTTCTATTTTTTGGAAAACTGAGGAGAATGGGTATTATGTCTTCTCTAAATGTCTGATAAAATTCAGTGGTGAATCCATCTGGCCTGGGGTTTTTTGTTCTTGGGTAGTTTTTTAATTACTGATTCAATTTCATTGCTGGTAATTGGTCTGTTTAGATTTTCTATTTCTACCTTGGTCAGTCTTGGAAGGTTGTATTTTTCTAGAAAGTTGTCCATTTCTTCTAGGTTATCCAGTTTGTTAGCATATAGATTTTCATAGTATTCCCTAATAATTCTTTGTATTTCTTTGGAGTCTGTAGTGATTTTTTCCCTTCTCATTTCTGATTCTGTTTATGTGTGTAGATTGTCTTTTTCTCTTAATAAGTCTGGCTAAGTGTTTATCTATTTTGTTTATTTTCTCAAAGAACCAGCTCTTGGTTTCATTAATTTTTTCTATTGTTTTATTCTTCTCAATTTTATTTATTTCTACTCTGGTCTTTATTGTGTCTCTCCTTCTGCTGACTTTGGGCCTCATTTATTCTTCTTTTTCCAGTTTCAATAATTGTGACTTTAGACTATTCGTTTGGGATTGTTCTTCCTTCTTTAAATATGCCTGGATTGCTATATACTTTCCTCTTAGAAGTGTCTTCACAGAAGTTGAGGCATTGTGCTGTTGTTTTCATTTGTCTCCATATACGGTTTGATCTCTGTTTTAATTTGGTCACTGATCTATTGATTATTTAGGAGCATATTGTTAAGCTTCCATGTGTTTGTGTGCCTTTTTGTTTTCTTTGTACAATTTATTTGTAGTTTTATACCTTTGTGATCTGAGAAGTTGGTTGGTAGAATTTCAGTCTTTTTGAATTTACTGAGGCTCTTTTTGTGACCTAGTATGTGGTCTAGTCTGGAAAATGTTCCATGTGCACTTAAGAATGTGTATCCTGCTGCTTTTGGGTGTAGAGTTCTATGGATGTTTGTTAGGTCCATCTGTTCTAGTGTGTTGTTCAGTGCCTCTGTGTCCTTCCTTATTTTCTGTCAGGTTTATCTGTCCTTTGGAGTGAGTGGTGTGTTGAAGTCTCCTAAAATGAATACATTGCATTCTATTTCCTCCTTTAATTCTGTTAGTATTTGTTCCACATATGTCGGTGCTCCTGTGTTGGGTGCAGTTATTTATAATGGTTATATGCTCTTGTTGGTAGGTGAGTTTTTTAATGTCTGGCTGCTTTTAATACTCTGTCCTTGTCTTTGATCTTTGCCATTTTAATTATTATATGTTTTGGTGTTGTCCCCTTGGGTCTCTTGTGTTGAGAGATCTGTGGACTTCTGTGGTCTGAGAGACTATTTCCTTCCCCAGATTTGGGACATTTTCAGCAATTATTCCTTCCAAGACACTTTCTATTCCTTTTTCTCTCTTCTTCTTCTTCTTCTGGTACCCCTATAATATTGAATATTGTTCCGTTTGGATTGGTCACACAGTTCTCTTAATATTCTTTCATTCCTGGAGATCCTTTTATCTCTCTCTGCCTCAGCTTCTCTGTATTCCTGTTCTCTGATTTCTATTCCGTTAATAGGTCTCTTGCACCTCATCCAGTCTGCTCTTAAGTCCTTCCATTGTTTGTTTCATTTCTGTTATCTCCCTCCGGAATTCATCCTTTAGCTCTTCCATGTTTTTAGCTCTATCAGCATGCTTATGAGTTATTTTGAACTCTTTTTCAGGAAGATTGGTGATTTCAGTCTCTCCAGGCCCTCTCTCTGGTGTCTGAGGGATTTTGGACTGAACAAGGTTCTTCTGCCTTTTCATGGCGATGGGAGTGGTCCCTGGCGGGTAGTGTGTGTGTCAGCTGGGAGAACAAAGTCCCTTCCTGTTTGCTGGTCACCTTGCCCGTCTTCGCTGCCTGTGCCAGTCAACTGTATACAGGGAGCAGCCTCTGGGTTAATTCCCTGAGCTGCTGTGGGCGGGGCAGCCCTCAGGATGGCCTAGGGCACTGGCAGGGGTTGCTGGCCAGCAGCACGTGTTTGTGGCCAGAACAGAGCCCCTTCGTGCCTCCTGGACTCTGTGCCCATCTCCTTTGTCTGTGCTGGTCAACTGTGCCCAGGGGAAAGCCTCTGGGTCAATTCCCTGAGCTCCTGTGGGCAGGGTGGCCCTGGGGATGGCCTATGGTACTGGCAGGGGTCGCAAGTGAGCAGCGTGTGTTCTGACGCAAGAACGGAGCCCCTTCGTGCTTCCTGAACTCTGTGCCAGTCTCCCCTGCCTGGCACATGGGGTAACCACTGGGTCTGGCCTGATTAGCCATGTGCAGGGAGAATACTCTGTGTGGTTGCTGTGAACAGGGCTGCTCCCTGGCTGTTCCACAGCAATGGCGGGTCAGCCCGTTTGCTTGCAGTGCTGGCAGGGGGGAATGAACTGCAGGCTGCTTATCGCCATAAGGGGCTTCAGAGCTGTGTTGCCACCCAGGATGTTAGGGCCCCTGAAGTTCCTTAAAGTTCCCAGCCTGCTGGGCTGAGTGTGCCAGGATGATTTTGTCCACCTGTTAAACCCTTGTCCCTTTAAGATTTTTAAGCCCCCACTTTCCTTTTGTCCCAGGGCAACCAGCTGTGGTAACCTGTTGGCAGTCTTAGTCTTGGATTTTGCTTTTCCATTCCTCTAATATCTAGTACACTATGCAATGTGTGTCTGTGCTCCCACTGCACATTACTAGGGCTGGTTATTTAGCAGTCCTGTGCTTCCACTCCCTCCGCACTCTGATTCTTTTCCTCCCACCGGAGAGCTGGGGTGCAGGGAGTACTCGGGTCCCACCCAGTCATGGCTTTGTATCTTACCCTTTTCCATGAGATGTTGAGTTCTCACAGATGTAGATGTAGCCTGGCTAGTGTACTATATCTTCTGGTCTCTCTTTTACAAATAGTTGTATTTGCTGTATATTCAAAATGTATATTGTTTTGGGAGGAGAATTCTGCCACCTTTCTTATGCCACCATCTTGAGAATCCCCTTTTAAGCTTCCTGATGAAGCCATTGTTTGCCTCAGGTGTTACCCAACATCTCAGGAGGCCTCTAAGTTAAACAAATGCATGAGGATGAGGCTTTCACACATGAACTCTGGGTTAGTTCAAATAAAAGTATCCTTGTAAGTGGGTTCTTTCAGGGAATCACCAGACAGGCCACATAAAGACAGTTTTCTGGGAATGAGGCTGTGAGAGACCCGAGTCCAGTTTTGCCATTCCAGTGGCTGGCAAGCTGCTGGCTGCAGACCATTGATTCTCACATTACTGCAGAGTTGTGTATATCTGTCGGGGGGGAGCAGTTAAGTTAAAAACACACAATATCACTGTTCCTACTGTGACTCATCTATTTTCCTTGTGTAAAAACCCCACAGATTGCCTTTGTTAGCATCTACAGTTCTTGCTGGGCTTTTTGTTGCTCATGTAGAGGAAGGAGCATTGGGCCCTTGATTCACCATTTTCACTCAAATCACTTGTTAGGTTACTTTTTTTTTTATCCAAGTGACTTTTATTAAGCCAGATATTAAAGAGATTGGAAAAAATGAAAGCAATGTCACTTTTCTCTCTAATTTCTTTACTTTTAGAAAAATAGTTAAATTTTCTTAAATTTTTTTAGACTAAAATTTCATGAGAGGTGTTCCTGTTCCTTTTTTCATTTATTACCAGCTGTTGGCACTGAGCTGCACACAGAGGAGGTACTAATACTGAAGATGTGAGTGAACAAATAATTGTATGTAACTGGAAAAAACTTGTTTCTGTCTTCTCTCTCAGTCTACTTGCCTTTTATCAATTTTTAATTGTGATAAGAACAGTTAACTTGAGATCTACCCTCCTAATTTTTATATGTCCAGTACAGTGTTATTAATCACAGCAGATCTCTGGAATATAATGATTTTTCAGAACTGAAACTTTATTCCTGTTAAACAGCTCCCCATTTTCTCTCCTCCAGCTCCTTTGGAATCTTTTGTTTTGGAAACTTTCCCTTTTCTCAGTTGCCAGAACTACCCTCTCCTGATCGTATTATTACTGTTTAGAAAGTGCCTTCTCTGGTTCTGTGGCCCTGTTCTTCCTGCCTCTTTAATATTTATGGTTCTTTGGATGCTAGTTTTGGTACTTGTCTTTTCTCAGTCCCTCTGCTTAAGATGCTCTCTGCCTCTGCTAAGTTCAGTTATCACCCAAATTACTAGTAACTCTTACATGCTCATCTTCATCCTAAACCTCCCATCCATACTCTGAAACCATTGTGTTTTAGATCCTTCAGTACCAGCATGAACAGATCTATCTCACTAAGACTTGTAACATGATTTTTTCCTTTTGTTTCCCAATGTCTGTGTTTGGCACCAGTATCAGAAAGCTGCTCATAAGCTAGACTGGGCAGCTGCATGGGAAAGTCATTGCCAAATTGGCTGCCCCTGCTCTGTGACTGTGTTTTTATCCTCATACTCACTGCTGTTACTTCCATGTAGGTGGGGTTCTCACATGCTGTGCTCTGATTCCAACTCCTTGGAAGTTCTTCCCCCTTCCTGAGCTTTAGATTTATATATCTTTTTGCACTTATTTTATGTAGGTTTAATCATGTATATCTCTATAGCTTACATGTATCTTCTTGGCTCCCATTATTTGTAACTACATTGTCTAGTGAGGGAATGAACATTCTAGCATTCTCTAGAACTCTAGATACCCAGGGTAAGAAGAATTGTAAATGTCGTCTTTATATTGAGATTTTCTGTCTTAAAAACCTTTAATACATGAATATACATAAATGATGAATTATGATAAGTTAAAAACCTTTTTAACTACTCAAGTAACTCCAAAGTCAAAGACAAAATTAGGTCAAGAATGGGCATCCTTTATAACCATTTCCTTAGAGCCATAAGAGTATACACGAAATGTAGTAGCTCTCAGATGCATTTTATCACATACTTCTGAACTTTTGAACAAAATGTTCTGTTACAGGGGTCAGTGTCATTCAAAGATGTGACTGTGGAGCTCACCCAGGAGGAGTGGCAGGCCCTGGGCCCTGCGCAGAGGACCCTGTACAGAGATGTCATGCTGGAGAACTACAGCCACCTCGTCTCAGTGGGTGAGCAAACCTTCCCAATGACTCCACCCAGGTTACAATTCATTTTTAAAAATTCTCAGAACACGTGGACCCATTATAGACATGATTGTTGTTCAGACTTCCAAGAGGTGAATGTAACTGAAATCTTTAGATCTCATGTTTGTGCGGTTATTTCCCATGGAAAACTTCACATGAGCACCTTCATTTTACTGCTCTTGCTGCTGTATCTTTCTCCACCTTTGGAAACCAAAATCCATGGGTCTGGTCTATACATACCTCGATTGTTACTTTTATAGGGTATTGCATTACCAAACCTGAGCTGATCTTCAAGTTGGAGCAAGGAGAAGAGCCCTGGTCCTTAGAGGAGGAATTCCTACACCAGAGGCACCCAGGTGGGTGAGCACTGACAGAGGGAAACACCTGGGGTATTTAGACCTTAGTACGGAATACTTTTGCATGTGTGTTTCCTTTTAAATCGTTTCATTGGGATAATTCCACACCATAGAATTTACCCATTAAAAGTATACAATTCAGTGGCTTTTAATATACTCACAGATAATGTGTCACCAGCTTTTGTCACCTCAAAAAGAAACCCTTTAGCTATCACTTCGCCATCCCTGTGTCCCCTCCATCTTTAGCAACCACTAATCTACTTTCTTCCCTCTATATTTGCCATTCTGGACATTTTATATAAATGGAGTCACTCACTATGTGGTCTTCTGTGACTGGTTTCTGTCACCTAGGGTTACATATAGCATGCATTAGTACTTCATCCCTTCTAATGGCAAAATAACTCATCATGTGGATGCACCACATTTGTTTGTCCCTTGATCAGTCAGTAGACATTTGGGATTCCACCATTTGGCTGTTACCGAGTAATGCTTACATAAACATTGATAACAAGTTTTCCGTAGACATACTCCTATTTCTCTTGAGTTTATACCTAGGAGTGGAATTGCTGAGTTATATGGTAATTGTGTGTGTGGCTTATCAGACTGTTTTCCAAAGTGGCTGTACTGTACCATTTTGCGTTACCCAACAATAGCATATGAGGATTCTGATGTCTCCACATCTTCACTAGCATTTGTTATTATCTTAGTTTTTGTTCTAGTCATCCTTGTAGACTGAAGTAGCATATCATGGAGGTTTATTGGTCATCTGGCCCTGCATAACAAAATGCCATAGCTAGTGTGGCTTAAACAACAGAAATTTCTCACAGCTTGGCTGGAAGTCCAAGATGACGGTGCCAGCAGGGTTGATTTCTGGCACTTCCTGCCTCTTCCTGACTTGTGGGTGACTGCTTTCTCCCTATTCACCACATGGCATTTCTTCTGTGCATGTATGGAGAGAGAAAGAGCTTTGATGTCTCCCATCGTTCTATAAGGACAAGTCCTGTAGAAGGATGGCACCATCCTTATGACTTCACTTAACCTTAATTACCTCCCAAAGGGCCTTATATGCAAATGTAGTTACATGGGGGGTTAGGGCTTCATACATGAATTTGAGGGGAGACAAAATTCAGCCAGTAGTAACTTCACTGATCACTAATGAAGTCAAGTATCTTTTAATGTGTTTATTGGCCTTTGTGTAAATTAGTAAACAATTCTAGGAGTTTCAAACACTATAGTTACAATATGATTCCTAAAACAGAAGAGTAAAAATCATCTAAGTGTATTTACTGTAAGTTTTTGTTAATCCATTTAAACAGATAGCATAGTACAAAGACTGTTATAATTTAGATCAAGCGTATCTCCCAGTCACTACATGTAAATGATTGGATCATATTGCTAAGCTAAAAAAGATATCCCTAAATAAGTATCTTAGAAAGATTGTAGTAAAAGAATGATAAAGTCATTAAGTCAACAAAAATAAAATAAGGTTTCATGTTCTGTATATCATACAGGCTTGAATATAGGCAATAAGTGTATTACCTTAAAAGAGGACCCACTAGCTCAAGACCATAGGTTAAAGTATATCTTTAAGCATTTGTATGGCTTCGCCAAACAATATGAAATCAGTGATCGTAAAACAGAAAATAATGGAATTATAAGAATTTTAAATTTCTTAAGATTAGGAGGATATCATAATATAGTTCATCTGATTAAATGTAGATACTCTCGACATTAAGTAAATATGCTTGTAGGGATATTTTTATTAAAAGAAAACCACATATTTGTGTTTGCTGAAATCAAAGAACACGCCTTTCATTTTCCCATGAAATAGTTGTAAGATAGTGAAAATACAGTTTGAAAATATAGTGTTAGTCTACAAGAAAATACCAATAAACCCAGTAAATCAGAATCACCACACTCTCAACATAGTTTGATAAATCAGTAAAGTGGAAATTCTCATGGAAATGTTCTTATCACCTTTAAACAGTGTATAAATAATGTGCAAAAGAAAGGAACTCAAATCCAACGTTGAATGATATTTATAAAATAATAAAAATAAATGTACATATTAGAAACCTTAGTGTATAGCTAAAAACAGTGAACAGAGGTAAATTTGTAATCTCATATTTATATTAATAAATTAAGCAAAATCAATAACAAAAATATGCTAATAAAAGCAAAATTTAGGGGCAGAGCCAACATGGCAGCGTGAGTAGGACAGTGGGAATCTCCTCCCAAAAACATATATATTTTTGAAAATACAACAAATACAACTAATCCTAAAAGAGAGACCAGAAGACACAGGAGAACAGCCAGACTACATCCACACATGTGAGAGCCCAGCACCTGGTGAAAGAAAGAGGTAAGATACAACCCCCGACCTGACAGGATCCGAGCATGCCTACCCCCAGCTCCCGGCGGGAGGTAGAGGGAGCCCATGACTGCTAAACACCCAGCCCCAGGCACCCGCACCAGAGCGCAGACACAGTGCATGCGTGGAGGGCTGGAAACTAGGGAAACAGGGCAGCAAGACCTCTGAGAGGGTTCTGAAGCTGATGCCCCAGTGACAAAGAAAAGCGAGTGCTTTTTGAAAGTCTTAAAGGGATAGGGACATAACAGCTGGACGGAAACAACACAGGTCACAGCCCTGGAAATTACAGGGAAAACTGGGCACACTAACCCCCTGGGCAACAGCTCTGAGACCCCTCTTGGAGGTA